GAGCAGTACTCAAATAAAATTTTTTTTTAACTCCATCAAGATCGGTATTGCCGATCCATCAGGAATAGTATTTTTGCTGTTAAGATATCTTTGTTCAAATTTTAGAAAATTGTTTTATTTTGATTGCAGATTTTACCTTATCTATATGAGGTTTTATTTTATATCTCAAATTTTATATAAATAACTTATATAATTTTATTAGCTGATGATTCAGATTTTACTCTATTATATTACTATTTTATTTAAAAAAATTTTTATTAGAAAATAATATTAAAATTTTATAGAGATCAATGTTTCCATTATTGAAGCCTTTGTTAACAGAAGATCCATATTTAAGAAATGTAAGCACTTATTTATTATTACATGTTGTTATTTGTATATAATCTTTTTATATTTTTAAGTTTGAATTTACTTTTTATGTAGTTTGCTAATAATTTAATCAAAGTTCGTCAAGAAACAAATATTCAAAACACTGATATTTTACAAATTTTATTAAATTTCTTTGATGATGAAACAGAACAAACTAAAGATGGAAAGTTGAAACAAAATAAGAATGAATATGGAATGACAAAAAATGAAATTTATAATCAAATTGTAGAATTTTTGTATATTATTTTTTTATTGAATTTTTTTTGTTGGTTTTATATTATTTTATATTTATATTTTTATTTATTTTGCAGAATTGCAGGAACAGATACAGTTTCATTTACAACAACAATGACACTTGTTCAACTTTCTAAAAATCCACAAAAATTATTATCTCTTATTGAAGAGTTGGATAAAGTTTTGAGTATTAATGAGTTACCTACTCATGATAAATTAAAAGAATTGAAATATTTAAATGCTGTTATTAATGAATCCATGAGATTATGGCCTGTTGTTTTGGTATATTAATTAAATTTAATATTTTTGTATTTTGGATTGTTTGAATCTATTTATTATTTATTTCTTTATTGACATGAGTTTAAAATCTTGCAGGATGGAGGTAAATAATATTTTATTTAATTTAATTATTTATATATTCATATCGGCGGATTTTTGGAATTTACTATTAAAAATTACAATAATATTTAACTGTGAATAACTTTTGATTCACTGGT